TGTGATTTAATTGAATCTTTCTCTTTTTTTTCTTGATAAGTCTAGCTAGAGGTTTAATAAGTTTATTGATTTATTCTAAGAACCAACTCCCAATATCATTGATCTGTACTATTTTTTAAAATTTCTATATCATTTATTTCTGCTCTAATCTTTATTATTTCCTTTCTTCTGCTCGTTTGGGTTCTTGTTTATGGTTCTTTTTCTATCTCCTTTAGGCATAAGGTTAGGTTGTTGAGATTTTTCTCGTTTAGATAGGTGGTATTGCTATACATTTCCTTCTTATGGCCATCTTTGCCGTATCCGAAAGGCTTCAGATTGTTGTGTTTTTATTTTCATTTGTTTCTATTTACTATTTAATTTCTTATTTTATTTCCTGGTTAACCCATTCATTGTTAAGTAGCATGTTATTTAACCTCCATGTATTTGTGATCTTTCCAGATTTTTCTTGTGTTTGACTAACCCTTAGACCTAACCCTAATGTTTTATAGCATCGTGGTCAGAAAAGAACTATGGTATGATTTCAGTCTTCTTGAGTTTGTTTGTTGCAGCTTGTTTTGAGAGCTAATATTTGATCTTTTCTGGAGAATGTCCATCCCATGTGCACTGGGGAAGACTCTATTCTGCTGTTTGGGGATGGAATGTTCTGAATATATGTTAAGCCCATCTGGTCCAGTGTGTCATTCAAAACCATTGTTTCCCTGTTGATCTTCTGCTTAGATAATCTGTCCGTTGATGTAAGTGTCGTGTTAAAGTCCCCTACCATTACTGTATCACTATCAATGATTTCCTTTATGTTCATTATTAACTGCTTTATGTATTTGAGTGGTCTTATGTTGAGTGCGTAAATGTTGACAATTGTTACATCTTATTGTTGGATTGTCCTCCTTGTAATTATAGTGTCCTTTTGGTTTCTTGTCATAGTCTTTGCTTTAAAGTCTATTTTGTCTGATATAAGTATTGGTACTCCAGTTTTCTTATGACATCCATTTGCATGATAGATGTTTCTCTATCCCCTCACTTTCGATTTGTAGGTGTCTTTAGGACTGAAACCAGTCTCTTGTAGGCAGCATATAAATGATTCTTGTTTTTTTCCCTACTTTGTAACCATATGACTTCTGATTGGAGCATTTAGTCCATTTACATTCAGAGTTATTGATAGATATGCATTTATTATCACTTTATTATTTGTTTTGTGATTGTTTCTAAAGATTTTCTTTGATCCTTATCTTTCTCTTTTTCATGTTTTATTGGTTTTTTTTAGTGATATATTTAGGTTACTTCTTTTTATTTTTTTGCACATTTATTTGTCATTTTTGTTACATGATTACCATTAAGTTGGTGTATAATCTCCTCTGCATATAGCAGTCTATATTAAGTTGATGGTCATTTAAATTTGAACCCATTCTTTACTGTTCTCCTCCCCATGTTTTAGGTATATGTTGTTATGTTTTGTATCCATTTAATTTGTGAATTTCTTGACTGATTTTTTTTTACAGAAATATTCATTTTTACTGCTTTTGTGCTTCCTACCATCATAGTGTTAGTTTTGGTCTTTCCACTCAGAGTCCTGTTTAATATTTCTGGTTTAGTGGACATGAACTCCTTTAGTTTTTGTTTGTCTAGAAAACTCTTTATCTCTTCTATTCTCAAATATAGCCTTGCTGGGTAGAGTATTTTTTAGCTGTAGACTTTTCCCTTTTGGCACATTGAATATATCATGCTACTCTCTTTTGGTTTGCAAAGTTTCTGGTGAAAAAAATCTGTTAGCCTTATGGGTTTTCCCTTGTATGTTTCTGTCTTCTTTTCTCTTGCTGCTTTTAAAATTTTTTATTTTTTCAGTATATTTGGTAAATTAATTACAATAGGTCTCAGTGTGGGCTTCTCCTCCCCCCCTTTTTTTTGAGAGATAGAGGTGTCAGGGGGAGAGGAAGAGAGAGAATCGCAAGCAGGCTCTGGCCCAGTTTGGGTCTGACATGGGGCTGGATCTCACAACCCTGAGATCATGGCTTGAGCCAAAATCAAGACTTGGACGCTTAACCAGCTGTGCTACCTAGGCACCCCTGTGGGCCTCCTTTTTTGATCTTGATGGACGTTTTCTGTGCCTTCTGGATCTGGGCATGTTTCCATTCTTGGATTATGGAGATTTTCAGCTATTATTTCCTCAAATAAATTTTCTGCCCCATTTTTCTCTCTTTATACTTTGGAACTCATATAATATGAATGTTATTACTTTTGGTAGAGTTATTGAGTTCTATAAGTTTATTCTCATTTTGCATAATTCTTTTTCCTATCTTTTGTTCAACTTGATCACTCTGTCATCTAGGTCATTAATTCATTCCTCTGCTTCTTCTATCCTTCTCTGCATTCCATCAGGCATGTTTTTCAGTTTGTTTATTGAGCCCTTTATTTCTGTTATATTATTCTTTATCTTGTATTAAGGGTCTCATACATGTCTTTCACTCTTTTCTCAAGTCTAGGACTATACTTATATTCATTGCTCTAAATTCTCTATGAGGCATTTTACTGATGTGTTTTTCACTTAGATCTCTGGATGTGGCCTTGTCCTATTCTTCCATTTGAGATAAATTTCTCTGTCTCATTTTTTTGTTCCTCTTTGTTTGTTTCTCTGTGTTAAGAAAGTCAGCTATGCTTTCTGTTCTCAAAAGTGGTGACTTTATGAAGAAGAGGTCCGATAGTGCCCTGGAGTGTAGTGTTCCCTGTTCACCAGAATCTGGCACTTCAGGAGACTATCCTATGTGTGTTGGTTATGCCTTGCTCTTATGTCTGAGTTGCTTTTCCTTTCAGTGCAGTTTTCTGGACTGATGCTTTCCTGTTATGGGCTGTGGTTGCTTTCCCTGGTGTGAGTGAGATTCAGGCAGGCCAACTCTGAGGGAGTGTGGCTTTGAGGAAACCTGGGAGTAGGGCAACAATGTTCGCAAAATTGGTACTGGGCTACCGGTCCCATGCCAGATCCCCTAAAGTGCTGCAGAGGCTGGAGGCTGCATTTCTTTGGTGGCTGGGGCCACATGGCTGGGTACCATGCACTGGCTGGGTGTGATGTGCAGTGGTGGTGGTACATTGAGAGATTGGGCAGGACACATGGACAGCTTTCATAAAATTGGCCCCAAGCCCAGGGCCAAAGCTAACAGGCTTGGAGTGGGTGAGTCCTTAGGAGAACTCATGGTCTTAGCATACTACTAGGAGTTTAGGTAGCGAATGTCTGTGCAGCCTTACTTCCTGCAGGTGACCCTGTGTTTATGCTGGGGGGGCGGGGAATGATGCCTGCCAGCTCCCTCATTTTCAGAGAAGCACCCCCAACACACTCTGAAATCAGTATGAAAAAAATCTGTCTCTCACTTGTCCCCAGTATTGTGTAAATTGCTGTTTTTTTGCTTCCTATCCATGCAGGCTACTGTCTCTTTAAGGGCAGAGACCCAGCTATCACTTGCACTCCACGCTATCCCAGTGCTAGGTCAGCTGACTTTTAAAGATCTAACTCTAAGTCCCATTAGTTAAACAAACTCACAGAATTCAGCACCTCTGATTTTCAAAGTCAAACATGATGAGGATTAGTCTTCCTCCTTGTGGGCTCCCTGGTTCTTTGGCCTTTTCTCTGCCCTCTGCACATGCTAGCTCCCTCCCTCCAGCTGTCAGCCCCTGCCTTTTTGTCTTTCCTAACCTTTCAGATGCAGCTTGTTCTCTATTTTTAGTTATGGAAGTTTTGCTTTCTTCAGTTCTGAGGATTTATTTACTTGCATGTGGATGATATCTACTTGTAATGAGATGGTGTGAGTTCAGCGTCTTCCTTCTCTGCTCTCTTCCCAAGCTCCTTCTAGAATCTCTTATTTCTGACCTATGTGGGTCCTCTATTTCTTTGAAGAGTTATATTTCATATTGAAATTAATTCCTGTATATTGCTACATATTCTTGTGTTAGTCATTTCACCTTTTTTATATTGTGAACTCTTTATATTTTTCTTTTGTTGCCCATTGTGTGACTGTGTAAGTTTTCAAACACACAGAGTTGGAAATTTATAGTATGAGCATTCATATATGTATGTATATAAACCACACACACATATATACTCACCACCTAAATTTGAAAATTATCATTTTGCTATATTTACTTTATTATATATGTCTATCCATCTGTGTAACCATAATACTTCTATGGATACATTTTGAATTAAGTGCAGGTATCAATAGACCTCTTAAAACCTCAGTATGCAAATCATTAACTAGAGCTCGATATTTTTTATAGTACTTTTTCCCTAATTTTTTATGACATTCAATTTACACATGGAGAAATAATAAATTTTATCATACAATTTGATGAGTTTTTAACCATTGTATACACTTATACACTGTGTATACACTTATGTAATCCAAGCCTTTATCAAAATTTAGAATATTACCTTTACTCATACCCCCCTTCAATGAGTTCTCCTCAAGTCAACCACTGCTCTGATTTTTTTTTCACCATAGGTACATTTTGCTTATTCAAATTCTAATATAATTATATTATATACACTGTTTTATGTATTGCTTATTTTATTTAACATAATGTTTTTGAGAATCATCCATGTTACTGCATCTGTCATTAGTGTTTATCTTTCAACTGGTGAGTGGTAATTTATGAGTGTAGCATATTTTTGCTTTTGATTCTCTTGTTGAACAGCTGGACTGCTTCTAGGTTGTTATGTATAAAGCCATTAGGGTCTTACACAAATTATTATGTGGCCACATGCTCTTTATTTTCTGGAGTACACACATAGGAGTGAATTTATAGGTCATAGGACAGATAGTTTTATAGAAAACTACAAGACAATTTTCCAAAGTTCTTGTGTCATTTTATACTTCTATCAATATTTGGTAGTAGTGTTTTTTAATTAAAATAATTATTTCAAAAAATTTTAGTCATTATGGCAGTTGGACAATAGTATCTTGTGAGTTTAATTTTTATTTCCCTGATGATTATTTTTACTATCTGCTCTCTTTCAGACAGTTCGGCATGGTTTTCCTTATCAGCCCACAGCATTAGCCTTTGATCCAGTTCAGAAAATCTTGGCTATTGGGACAAGAACAGGTGCTATACGAATGTATCCTTAATTTTTGTTACATTAATACCAATTACATTTTCTTAAATATTCAGGTAAGTGGAATATGATCAAATAAAGTTGATTTCTTTGAAATGAGTAATGATTATGAAAGCCCACATTATCCAGTTTATTGGCATATTTTTAATGTCTGTGAGATAACTCTTGATGTCCTTTCTTTAATTCCTTGGGATAAATATGCAGAAATGGAATTGCTGAGTCATAAGGAAGTTCTAGTTTTAATTATTTGGGAAACATCATACTGTTTTCCATGTGGCTGTACTAATTTACAGTCCCACCAACAGTGTACAAGGGTTCCCTTCTCTCCATATCCTCACTAACAGTTGTTATTTCTTATCTTTTTGGTAAAGCCATTCTTACAGATGTGAGGTGATATCTCATTGTGGTTCTGATTTGCATTTCTCTGATAATTAGTGATGCTGAGCAAATTTTCATGTACCAGTAAGCCATCCATAGGTCTTCTTTTGAAAAATGTCTATTCAGATCCTCTGCCCATCTTTTAATATAATTGTTTTTTATTTTGTTATTGAGTTGTATGAATTCTTTGTATATTTTGGATATTGACTCTTTATTATATGTAATTTGTAAATATTTTCTCCCATTTATTTTGTTGATGATTTCCTTTGTTGTATGGAAGTTAGTTTCATGTAGTCCTACTTGTTTATTTTTGCTTTAGGTATCAAATCCAAAAAATCATTGCCAAGACCAATGTCTAGCAGCTCACTGCCTTTATTTTCTTCTAGGAGATTTATAGTTTTAGGTCGTATATTCGGGTCTTTAATCCACTTTGAATTAAGTTTTGTGTGTATTTTAAGATAATGGCCCAGTTTTATTCTTTTGCATGTGTCTGCTCAGTTTTCCTGACACCATTTATTGAAGAGACAGTCTTTCCTCCAGTGAGTAATCTTGCTCTCTTATCAAAAATTAGTTGACCATGTATGCATGGGTTTATTTCTGGGCTCTTGGTTCTACCATTGATCTGTGTGTCTGTTTTATTCCAATACCATAATGTTTTGATTATTGTAACTCTGTAATATAGTTTGGAATTAGGAAGCATGATGCCTCTAGGTTTGTTTTTTTTTCTTTTTTTTCCCTCAAGATTACTCTGGCTATTCAAGGCCTTTTGTGTGTGTCTGTGTGTGTGTGTGTGTGTGTGTGTGTTTAAGGATTTTATTTACTTATTCACGAAAGACACACACACACACACACACACACACACAGGCAGAGACACAGGCAGAGGGAGAAGCTAGCTTCCTGCAAGGAGCCCGATATGGGACTTGATTCCAGGACCCTGGGGTAATGCCCTGAGCCGAAGGCAGACACTCAACCACTGAGCCATCCAGGGGTCCCCCTTTTGTGGTTTTATACAAATTTTAGAGTTGTTTTATTTCTGTAAAAGATGCCTGCCTTTGGAATTTTTTTAGAGGTTGCATTGAAGCTATATATTGCTTTGGGTAGTATATATACTTTAATAATATTAAGTCATCCAATCCATGAGCATGGAATATCTTATATTCATTTGTAACCTCTTCAGTTTCTTTCATCAATATCTTTTTTTTTCCTCTTCCCTCCCCTCCCCCCTCATCAATATCTTATAGTTTCTAGTGTCTAGGTCTTTCATTTCTTGGTTGAATTTATTTCTAGATATTTTATTCTTTTTGATGTGGTTGTAAATGGGATTATTTTTTTAAATTTATCTTTCTGATAATTTATTATTAGTATATAAAAATGCAGCTGTTTTTTGTATATTGATTTTGTAAGATCATTTTCTTTTTGATCTATGTGAATCTACTTTAATTGGTATATTAAGATAACTTACTATAAGGTAATTGTTTATATGTTAGAGCCTAATTCTGCCAGTTTACTTCTTTGCTTTCTGCTTGTTTCCCTGTTTCTTGTTTCTGTTTGACTTTCCTATTTTCCTATGGGTTATTTGAACATTTTAAATAATTCAGACATGATACATTTATATTGTTTTTGAGTATATTTATTTGTAGTTTTCTCAGTGGTTGCTTTAGGTATTACAATAAATGTACATAAATTTTCACAGTCTACTGGTATCAGAATTTTTTCACTTTGAGGGAAATGGAATCCTTACTTACAATTAGGTCCCTATACACTGTCTTCTTTTAAAGTATAATCATCTTATGTATTTCCTGTAAATGCCTCAAGCAGCACCACATCAGATGGTGCTATAATTTTTGCTTCAGCTATCAAATGTGACTTAAGAAACTCATAAGAAGTAGGATAATCTATTATATTTATCCAAATTTTTACCCATTCCTATGTTATTTCCTTTCTGAAGTTACCAGAAAACCCGTTTTCCAGGGTTTTAAAGGTGAAGATATGGGATGCTTATTTGAGAACTTCCATTTCTTTCTGATTAGAGCACTTTATTTAGACATTTTTTAAGGATATATTTGTTATTTGAAACAAATTGTCTCAGTTTTTCTTCATCTGAGAATGTATTTATTTGTCATTCCTCAAGGATATTTTTGTTGTATATACACAATGAACAATTACTTTCTTTAATTACTTGAGAAATGTTGTAAAACTTTCTTCTGGCCTCTGTGGTTTCAGATGAGAAGTTACTGTCATTCAAATTCATGTTCATTTATAAGACTTTGTCTCTGGCTGCTTTCCAAAGCTTTTCCTCTTAGTTTTCAAAAGCTTAATTATGATGTTTCTTGACATGGATATTTCTGGGTTTATCTTTTTTGGTGTTTGCTCCACTTAACTGCGTCTGTAGGTTTATGTATATCATCAAATTTGGAAGTTTTCAGCCATTACTTTTTATTATAGTTTCTCAATTCCATCATCTTTTTGCTGTCCTCTGGGACTCCAATTATATGAATGTTAGATCTTTTTTCTTGTCCCACAGACCCCTCACACTGTTCATTGTGTTTCCCCACTTCAGTCTTTTTTCCCTCTGTTCAGATCAGATACATTTTATTGATCTTTTCCCAAGTTTACTCATTTTATCCTTGTCATCACAACTCTACTACTGAGCCTATCCATTTTTACCTTGGTTATTATATTTTTCATTTAATTTCTTTTTTAGAATTTCTATTTGCTGATCTTATTTGTTTTAAGAAGTTTCATAATTGCCTATTGAAGGATTTTTGTCATGGCTGTTGAAAACCTTTCTCAGATAATTTTTCAGAACATCTGATTCATTTTGATGTTGGCATGTATTGGTTATCTTTCCTCATTCAAATGCCATTATCTTGGTCCTGAGTATCATGAGTGATTTTCAGTTGTATCTTGGATATTTTGAATATTATATTATGAAACTTAGATGCTATTGATCATTTTTTTTAAACCAGTAAGCTCCCCTGTTGAGGTATAGCTTGAGGGCAAAGTGGGTGTATATATTCAAGTTTTATGGTGAGCCCTGTCAGCACACATACCCTAGCAAATGTAAGTACTGACTCACCCAGCTCATTTTCTGATGTGTGGGAATGGAAGTTCATATTCCTACAGGGCCCCAATAACATTGGGAGAGATAGGAAACGTGGTATCAACCACTCCTCTTTGCACTACCTTGTTACAACTCATTGATGTTAGTAGAGTGGTTCAGCTTCTGATAGGATCCTGACACCATGTGGGTGCTGACTAGCCCTGGTTTCCCCACCTTGTTCAATCTTATTTGTGTCAGGTGGATGTGGATATTCACATTCCCAATGACCATTCTACTGACATAGAGAGCTAGGAAAGTGTGTGTGAAGCCTAATGTTTGTGTGAAGTCCCACTTTATATCATCTCATTAAATCTTATTGTACCTGGACTCCAGTGATGCTATCTTGGCAAGAGAATTAGAACACCTTTTTTTATGCTAGGAGGGGAATGTAAGATCAGTCTCATTCAGACTCACTAATACTGTCCCATCAGAGATTGGATTGTTCCCACTTGCATCCACTAGTCTGGAAATGGCAGATCAATATCCTGTGTGGGGCACTAATACCACTAATACCACTTAGTGCACTTAATGGAACAGTGTTACCTGGTTCTGCCAGGTGGGGGAATGGGTGATTATTTTCCTGTTTGTGCCCTTAAACACTATCTGCTGAGGGAACTGAAGTGTGCTTTCTGCAAGATGGGAGCAGGATGAGGTGAAAGATCAGTTCCCCCAGTCAACCCTGTTGAACTGTGTGGAATTAAGGAGAGGAGAATTTTTTCTTTGTTGTTTGCTAGATTTGGGTGAGTGAAGCCAAAATTTGTTTTTAGGCTATTCTGTCTTCTCAGTCCTTTGGGAAAATAGCCTTTTCTTGGAGTTTTGTTTTTGTTTCTGTTTTCTTGTTTGTCCTAGTTTGCATTGGAGACATTTTCTAGGATACATAAAACACCATAAGTAAACCCAGGGAAATCACTGCTGTGTCATTTCTCAGGTACTGAGTTGCTTTGGCATTCCTCCTTCTTTCTTTCAGATTTTGGAAAGGAGGAATGGAGCTACTTATCTTCACAGATTTGAAATTCTCCACCCCCAGTTTTTAATATGTTGTGTTTTCCTTTTACTATGCTTAAAATATTTTCTAATTTCTGCTTGGTTTATTTTCTTGACCTCTGGCTTTTTATGTGTTATTCAGTTTCCAGATATTAGATGCTCTAAGATCTGTTATTGATTTCTAATTTAATTCCATTGTGGTCAGAGAATATACTCTGTATAACCTGAATCCTTTTAAATTAATTGAAGCTTGTTTTATGGTCCTGTCTGTGGTCTGTTCTGATAAATGTTAAATGCGTATTGAAATGAATGTGTATACCACTGTCCTTGGATAGATTGATCTGTAAATATCAATTACGGAAAATTGATAGTGTGCTTAAGATCTGTATTTGTACTGATTTCCTGTTTGTTACCATCTATTTCTTCTTACTGAAAGTGTTATTAAAATCTCTCAGTATAATTGTAAACTTTATCCTTGCAGTTCCATCAGTTTTGTTTCATTTCATGTATTTTGAAGCTTTATTATTAGCTGTATGAA